CGATCCCTTCAACCCCAATACGACACTTGACTCACAGAGAACACCACGATTATGTCCTGGCTCCTCGACCCTATGCTGCCTGACATCATGCTAGTAGCAACTATTTTCATTGTGTTATATTTTTCCAATATTTCCTGTTACAATGTTTGGCAGAGGCAACCGGAGATCCATCTTTTTGCTGCTCGATTCAAGGAGCAGAATTGGGACATACCGGTTGCTCGAGCTGCGTATCAACTTGTTCACAATGATATTTCACCTGGTTTTCTTGAAGCAATTATTGAACATGCAAACATGGAATGCCATCTGGTAAGATTGTGCTAGCATGCCAATGTGATTTTTTATGTTACTTGTTTCATAGAGGTGGTTTGTCTCGATTCTTTAGGGTAAACTTGAAGATGACTTCTCTATATATGTGCAAGCCATTGCCATTGAAAAAACAAAAGAGCATTCTCAAACACTACCGATACCGTATGCACAGTACTCTAGATTTTCATACTTGGTAGGTGGCCGTTCTTGTGATGCCTAATTTCATTATGCTGATATGATTTGTGCAAAATGGAAAATGATTTATTTTTTATTCAGGAGTCGGTGTCAATAATATTAATCATTTTCACAGAAAAATGACTGACAAATTTTATGTGTAGTTCACCTCTCCTTTATTTAATTATTTACTTTTTGATATTACGCTACTAGTAGTGCTATTTATTTTTGCTTGTCGGTTTTTCTAGTTTCAAATGCCATTAATTTCATCCTAATAAGCAGTAGGCTATTAGCTCTGTAAAGCATTTTTTGGTGGTTTATGGCTTTGCTTTATTCTCATTAGTTCCAAATGTTTATTGTCATAGCTACTTAATTCATGAGTCATGACCGAATATCTTTCTTATTCCCTTTGGTTTTGTTTATAGGTTTCTGGAAATGCAGATAAGGCTAGGGAAATTCTAATTGGAGCACTTGATGAAGTCCAACTGTCTAAACCAATCCTTGAGGTTCTCTCTCTCTCTCTCTCTCTCTCTTACACACTCTCTCTCTTCATTACATATTTTCCAAACATTTTCCTGTCCCCGATTTCTGATTTTGCTTTTGTTTTCCCCACAGGCCTTAATATATTTTGAAACAATTTTGCCACCACCAAAGAAGATAGATTATTTAGAATCATCAGTTGTCAAGTTCATATCCCTAACTCAGATGGCAGTGCTGCAGACAGGGAAGATCTATCTAGCATATTTTTGGAGGTAATAATTTTGTTTGAAAACTGGTAGATTACCAGCTTATAGCGATCTATTCAGGCCTGGCTGGTATCAATCTGTATAAGGATTTTTAAAATTCTTTTAGGCTTTAAACAATTCTCGATGCTTTGTCTCTTGTGATAGTTTAATTTGTTCATAATTTTATTCTAAAATAAAATGTTCATTAAATTTGGTTCTGAACTTGGCTAATAATAATTTATTAGGTGGTTTAATATTTATGTTTTATTTATTTGATGTTTAACAATTTTGGGTATTAGTATATATTCATAATTATGAAATTTTGTATTTATAAACATATAGATTTATGTGATGAAGGTAATTTGATTATCTTTATATTTGTTAGAAAACCTGAAATATGCTGTATGTTGGAAAATATTTGAAAAATGGCATGGCCGCTGGTATGGTACTATCTACCTGCCTTCCGCTTAAACTGTTTTTTTCGGTTATTGACGAGTGGAGGTTGGGGTTTGCCCTGGAATTGAAGCTGCTTACAAGTTATCACTATAAGATTGACCTTCTCTAAGTCTAAGACTATATTTGAGTTGACGGTTCTGTCAAAGATTGAATGTTTTGGAATGTCACAAGATTGTGAATGCTGTCTGAAAATCTGTATTGAATGCTCTGATTGTTTAAATTGGTGGCCAAATGCTAAATGTTGTAGAATACTTTTACTGGTAGCTTAACCTTATAAAAGAATTGTGCAGTTCTTGAGTCTCTTTGGAGATGCACAGTCTATTAAAAAGGCAGAAGATCGACATGCTAAGCTCTTTCTACCTAATAGACCAATGACAAATTTAAGGAAGCGTCATGCCGAAGATTTCATGTGTTCAGATAAGACAAAGCTGGCAAAGTCTTACTCTAATGACCCCTCAGATGGTCAGTCCTTGATGAGTGCTTATCCAAATGTACTAAACCAGTGGTCAGCTGGTTATGGTGCACAACCTCAGACTTGGCCTCCCACTACACAGGCACAAACATGGACTCCTGGCTACGGCCAACAGGTATATTGCAGTTTTTTTATGTATCTTTGAATTGTATTTCAGGACATGCTTGTCATGTTTTCTTGACTTATTCTAGCCTGTCTTTATGGTTTCCCCTTAGAATTGTTATTTTATGTAGTCAAGTGTTTGAATTATACTGCAATTTTGTGAAGGGAAAACTAGCCATTGTTGGCATGCCATTTATAACTGCCAAAAATTCCCTGTCGAGTATCAATGGTTTGATATGGTTTCATATTATTCTACTCTTTGATCGACAATTCTATGAATTCTCATCTGTAGGCTGCATATGGTGCGTATAGTAGTTATGGTAGCAATTATTCTACGTCAAAAATGCCCACATCAGCTCCCCAGAGTGCCGCATACGGTGCTTATCCGACTGCATATCCCGCTCAGGTATACAACTATCTGCAATCACTTCCTATTTGTTTTATAATTATTTGAAAAACTACAATTTTAAAAGACTAGTACCCACCCTAACGTACCAAGCCTATACCACTCACTTTTGAAAGAAGAAATTGAAAACATTGAAGTGTAAGCTTCTCAGGTCAATAATTACAAACATTTGAAAGGTTTATGTACGTTGCTGCATGTTGAAGCAATGTTTTTGGAATGATTTTCGTATAGATTTTACATATTTTCTTCTCATTCAGCATTCAAGTTTGAAATCTCTTTTTTCTCGTTGGGATCCCTAATATCTTGCTGTAAATTTTTGCAGGCCTTTCCTCAACAAAGTTACGCTCAACCAACGGCTGCCACGATGATACCTCCAGCCCAGCAACCTGCTGCAGCAGTTCCTCAAACAACTTAATATGGGACTTACAGCTGAGAATGCAGTAAAATATGATTATCCGATTTCTTTATTTCTACCTTGAGAAGGCTTAGCAGGTAGCTGAGGTGGACATTTTTGGGGTAGAAGAAGCGGGGGGGGGGGGGGGGGCGTTCGAGACGTTCATGCATAGATGTCTGTTCTAGTCTACAGTGGTAAACCGTGGTTTAGGTATTGTTTCTTGAAAGAGAGATCATGGAACAGGCCAACCGAAAAAGAGTAGGAAACTAAATTGATACAATTCGGTTCATTAGTATATTGTTGATGTGTTTTTTAATATTATTATTAGGGAGTTTTATGATCATCTTACCTAAATTACATTAAATAGGCAGAACGGTTTGAAATATTTGATCAAGGAGTACCCTGGGACATCTTCTGATCGAGAGAGCAAGAATTTGGGATTGAGTACCTGGGACATCTTCTGATCGATTGAAAAATAGATTCAAACAAAAGAGAAGTGAAATGCAAACAATCTAATACTAATCTTGTAGCAAAATATGATCGGTGATCGCCAATAATTGGCTGCCAATAGCGGCTGAAAAAGTTCAGTGCAAAAAATTAAATCTTTCTAAAATTTAATGAATACATTTTTAAAGTTTAGTGCCTAAAATAATGTCGTTTTAGGAACCAATAACAACACCAAAATGACGTCCCTTTATCCATGTCATCACAATAACGGAAAAATGCGTCCATGGTATATCTGGTTTAGTTTACCTAACTAAAATAAACAAAAACCCTCCTCTAATTTGTTTTGCTCTCCACTGCAAAGCTCGCTTCCTCCTCCTGGTATGGTTTTGATCCAATTCTTTCTTCATTGTTTCAAAATCACCCGACTTTGTATTTTCTTCTGCCATATATATATACGTTGAAGAAATTGACCTTTGGTATTATTATGTGAAACGTCTCTACATTTGAATCCCAAACGCTTTTGTCTGTTTCCGCTTTGTTTCTGAGTATTTCTCTGCTTAAGTTGTGTTCGTCTACCGAGGAACTCTCGGCTTAATTTATTTCCCTCGTGCGGAAAGTGTTCAACTTTACGAAATTTTGTAATGCAGTATGCACGGTGAGAATGGATTTGTTTGGTCTTTAGAAAAACACTATAAATATAAGAATAATTGGTCTTCAAGGGCGTGGCTTGGTAAGGTAAAAATATGAACTAGCTTCCTTTTGCATGTGATCATGGAGGTTTTGGCTTTTACTTAATTTCTTACTGAAATATCTCTATGTATAAAAGTGTATTAATTAGAGGATGCATGTGGATCTTCGTCTTTGGATTATCATTTTGTTTCTCTTAGTTTGTTTGTAGACTTCAGAAGTTAAAAGAAGAGTGTTTGTCCCCGCTCTGATTATGGCAAGTTAATTTTTCATTTAGTTAGTTATGCATGCCATTCTTTTATCTTTGGGTTGTTTTGCTCTTCCGCTGCTACTTCTCTACTTCTATTCCTGGCCTCACTACCGGTGTTTAGGGGGTGAGCGTTAGATCTGGTCGAGTCGGGTAAAAAAATTTCAAGTTATACAAGTTGACAGTACTATTTTATAACTAAAATTTTATTTGAAATTTTTAGTTTCTTTTTAAATTTAACTGCAAATATGTATAATATTATGATACTATTTAATTCCAATTTAAATAGTTTTTTATAACAATATGCAATACATAAATATTATGGTACTATTTAATTTTTATAAAATTAATCCATTAATTACTAGAAATTTTGAGTTATTCGAGTTCTATTTTATAACTCGACTCAAATTTGAATTTTTTTGAGTGGTGTTTATAAAATCACGAGTCGAAAAAGTTGATTTTCTTTTCGAGTCGAGTTGAATTTTGATCACCTCTATTGATGTTATCTACCTCTTCTCACCAAATGCAAAATGTAGGTACAAGTATTGTGGCTGAGAAAGCATTATGCACCAAAACCACGAGTTGTGCAGGCCTTCCGTGCAATGAAGGATATAGGAATTTGTGAGGAGAAAGTGAAACCAGTGTTGAAGAGACTTCTAATTTTATATGATAGAAATTGGGAGCCAATTGAATCTGAAAACTATAGAGTTCTTGCTGATGCCATCTTTGATGAGGAGGATAGTAAGGTACACTTTCCTCTATAATTTGTTTCATTCCAGTTTTAATTCATAAATTGATTTGTTTTTGATATTGATCTTGCTTTTCAGGTTCCAGAACCTAAAAAAGACGAGAAATGCATCGTATGTGACTCATCTATCTAACTTTGCTACCTTGCAGGATGGAGATATTGGAGATGATTCAGTACTTGATGACCTGTAAGACCCTTAAAAAGATTGAGAAAACTAGGTGAGGCTTCTCCTTCTCTCAGGAATGGAGGCCCAAATGTGTCTGGAACAATAGAACCTAGGCATTTGGCAATGGTAGGAAGATATGAACACATTTCACATTCATCTCAAATGCATTTTAGTATTTGTCCGCTATTTGTGAGTATTATATATGGGTGCGGAAATATGTGCAAGTATACACAATCGAACAAATAATACAGTGAAAAGTGAGTATCGTCTCCACAGAGATTGAAGAAAATTGATAAGTTCGGTCAAAGCGCTTTACTATGTCACCTAAGTAAAGTTAATGATGTTATTTGCAAATGAAAATGCTGTGGCAAAATGAATGGATGTTGTGGAAATTGTCTGATGGTAATATGGTAGCAGATTGAGATGTTATGGCAAATTGAATTGTGCTGAGTGCAAACAAATAAAAATGTAAAGACAAAAATAAACTGTAAATACTTGATTTGCTTATAAGAACTTTAGACTCCTCACACGACAAGTTACTGTGAGAATGAGTTATACGAGTTACTTAGGAAAATCTAAGTCTACTTCTCAGAATGGTTTTACTTCTATGCCTTATCTGCCCGACAGAGTTTACTGAGGGCACCCTATGCTATCTCTAGTTAAGGGACTCGACAGATTGAAGATGCCTTGGCAAAACGAATTGGCGTTAGCTACTGCAGGGATCCTATTGGTCCAGATAACATGATGTCTCAACAATACCTTTTTGCGACAATATAAACATCTAACCTATTGCTCATGCACAACTCTTTTTAGTCGAATGAAATCCTAGCCTTATCTCTAAGGTGGATTAGGCCTAGTTACTATCTAGAACCCCTTGCTTATGTGGTTCCTCCCTAATTTCTCTCGAATACTAAAGATGTGCTACTTAGACATTCTCTCGAACACTAAGTAATCTCCTAAGGAACGGCTACTCTTGTAGCTCCTACAACCTTAAGGCACTAAGCTTCATAAACAAAACATAATATAACATAGAAAAATAACCATTCATTAAAGCAAAACTTAAATATCCAAAATAAACTCCCACAAAATAGGATTAGTTCATGGTGGGGTTCGAAATAAGCAAGCACAAAGCAAGTTAATCCGTTCCTTACAACCCAAATAATAAATAACGAAAGCAAAGAGCAAAGGGAAGGAGGAAAAGCCTTCGACGTGCACTGTCGTAGCTTTCCTCGGCCACCACGAACTGTCCCAGCAAACTAGCTCATCTCGGACGTCTAGAACGCCAGCTTGTCAGCGGAGGAATGCCACAGCAAAAACGATTGACAAAAAAAAAAGAGAACTTTTTCTCCGAATTTTTAGGCTCTTGACGGTTGTCTAAAAATCTCCAAGTCTACTTAAAAAGTCAGGCTTCATCTTCTATTTATAGGGGGAGAATGAACCTAAGGTTTTGTGTTAAAATTACATTAGTACCCTAAAGTTCATTCCTTTTATGTGAGAGTCAGTGCAAAGATGGTAACTGGCCCCTCCTTTATGGTTGATTGCAGAAATCACTTTTTATACCATGACAGCTGGCTCTTACTAAAAATATTTTCTTTTACTTTTTATGCCCAGAAATGCCGTCCGAGTTGTCGCGGCAATCACATTTTGCTCAATAGTCTCATCATGTCATGGCAATTCCCTTTTGCTTATCATTGCTCCCAAATCCTACACATCATCAAACAAAACACCTTCCCCATAAAGCAGCACTGATTACAAAATAAAAATGCCTCGGTAAACAGAATTCCACCACATGGAACTATATGCTCCTAAATGCATCTATATGATCCTATATGAGCTTTTAGACAGTTAATAACTTAAGTGAAAAAGTTTCAAATATGACCTTTTTACGGAGTTATCAGTATTAAAGGAAAAGAACCGATGTCACCTTACGTTGCTTCGAACGGGAAAGTTACTCAGAGTCTCTCTTTCCTTGAGCATTAAAGATGAGCCCCCTATTATTTCTAAGAAAATGGTTGCTGATAAACTTGCTTTGATTATACCCAAGAAAGAGCCATTTTCCAATGAGATGCCACATGATGAGGTTCCTATTGTAGTTATTCATCCAGGTAAATAATTCACATATGATCATATTTGTTTTTGTTTTCGTCCCCTCCTTGATTCACTTTTCATTGTGAATCAATGTTCGATTACTGATTATCCTTGTGGCAGTTTTCAATCATCTAAATTAATTTTTTTTTGGATAAATAAATTTTATTACCCAAAGAAAGCAGTATCTGCTATAAAAAATAACCGATCACAAAAATATATGTACAATCAACTTACAACAAGAAAAGATCGGTTTAATCTATACCCAGGAGTTACAAAGGAAAGAGTTAATATTATCATTCCTATTTATGGCTTTTCCCCTTAATTTGATTGCAACTTCTTTGATGCAAATGAAGAGATCTTCAGCAGTTCTTGTTCGATTTTGAAAAATTCTTCGGTTGCGTTCCTCCCATAGAACATAGATTGTAGCACACCAAGCTATTTTAAAAATTGTTACGATGAGAGACTTGCCTTTCCAGGTGTTAGTAGCCCAATTAATCATGTCTTCCCAAGTTGAAACAGATTTCTTTATCCCATTATGTGAAAGAATTGCTTCCCATAGATAAGAAGCAGTTGAACAATCAAAGAACAAATGGGAGCGAGTTTCTATTGATGAGTTACAAAGAGTGCAGTCCCCGGATGTAGTAATCCCCATTCGTTGAAGTCATTCTCGAGTAGGAAGGCGATCGAGGAGAGCCATCCAAGCAATAATGCTATGCTTCGAAATATGAAGTGAGAACCAAATCAAGGATTGCCAAGAAGCTTTTTCACCATTAATTCTGATTTCTTGCCAGATTTCCCTTTTGGTAAAGGTGCTGTTTGAAATGGCAGGAAGAGCTTCATCACGTAACTTGAGCAATCTATTAAAACTCCAACTGAATTTCGACCCTCCCTCAATATGCCAAAAATTACACTCCTTTAAAACATGTTATGGCTTTTTTTTAATATCGGTGCTGTGAAATGTATAAGCTTGATTTTTTTGTTTATATGCTAACTAGCATCTATAACTATAACTTTGTTGGATATTAAAATTGTTGTCAATCTTTTTCTTAATTATTTTGTAATATTTTCCAAATAGTTTTAATCCTTTACTTATTTAGTTTACTATAATGCTTTTTCAATAGATTCATTAAGTGGAAGAGACTTGGCAATTAGGGAACTTTCAACCGGAAGATCAAATTGGCAGGAACCTCCAGAATCCTTGCATGCAGATGAAACTGTAGGTGCTGGTGCTTCAGCTTCAATGAGTGAGAAGTATACCAACTGTGAGCATGCAATTGTTCCTGTCGTAACAGCTTCTAGCGTAGAAATTGCCTCATCGCTGTTGGGTGAGGTAAAGATTTCTGTAAGCTGCCACAATTCTGCTCTTGGAAAACAGAGTTTCCAATTGCCTACCATAGATGAACTAAGAGAGCTGATGGAGCAGAGATGTCTCCGATCATACAAAATCATTGATCCAAATTTTGATCTCATCAAAATTCTGAACGACATGTGTGAGTGCATCTCCGAATTGGCGATTAATTCCTCTAGCCAATCAAAGGAAGGTGATGTGATGCCAGCTTTTGATGTGTTGAAGGGATCTCCTGCAAGGGATACCCTTGTTTCTGGGAGCTAGATTGTCAAATGGATCTTTCAATGTTCAGCACTCTTCAAATGGATGCGTTGATGATCTAGTGGGGAAGGAATTGCCGTTTCTTCCACAGCATGAACTTACTCTTAATGAATTAAGGTGGCTTCATGATGCGAGTGACATAAACAAGGTAAAGAAAAGGTTGAAATTTCATGGGTAAATGAAATTAATAAAGAGTTTCCAACACCATTTCAATATATATCAGAGAATCTGGTATTTCAAAATGCCCATGTTAGTTTTTCTCTTTATGGAATTGGAGATGAAAGTTGTTGTCCGACCTGTTTCGGAGATTGTCTCTTGTCTGATCAGCGCTGTGGATGTGCTTGTCAAGCTGGCAGAAAATTTGCATACTCTTCAGCAGGTGTTGTTGAGGAGGACTTCTTAGACGAGTGCATTTTGATGAATCATAATCCTCAACATCCATGTCTCCTCTATTGTACAAAATGCCCGGTTGAGAGATCAAAAAGGGTGACTTTCCCAAACCTTGTAAGGGGCACTTGAAGAGAAGAGCTGTCAAAGAATGTTGGAGCAAATGTGGCTGCAATAAGCAGTGTGGCAACAGGGTGGTTCAGAGAGGTGTAAATTACAAATTGCAGGTTTAGTTTATCCTGGTCTTGTACAAATTCCAGTCCGTGTTATCATTAGGTTGCTTTTCAACTTAAGGCATTCCCTTGAGTTTTTCTTCAATGACTAATTACAATGGCTGTTAGGTTTTCTTAACACCTGATGGAAAAGGATGGGGCCTCAGGACACTCGAAAAACTTCCCAAAGGAGCTTTTGTTTGCGAGAGTGTCGGAGAAATACTCACCATCTCTGAGTTTTATGCTAGGGACACAAGGAAACATACGTGTCCTATCCTGTTGAATGTTTGGGGGTTGAAGGGAGTTTCCAAGGATGAAGAAGCCCTTTGTTTTGTTGCCACATGTTATGAAAATGTTGCTAGGTTCATCAATCATAGGTTTGTATAGATGTTAAATGTATTGGACTTTCTATGGCCTGTAATTTTTGCCTACTCCGGTCTTCAAAAGATTTCAATTGCTTTTGCCTCTCTCTTTGTTGTGAGTTTCTGTAAGTTTAGTAATTGATTTTGATGACACTAATGAAGGTTACAAACATTAGTTGAGATATTAGCAGTTTAGCACTAGGAGATATGAAAAGATTACCTGAGAGATTTGTCTCATTTTCCTTTTTATATGTATTGTTTTAATTACTGCTATAGGTCAGGCATATGACGACAAACTCATTGGAAAAATGTCTGAGCACCTTCGATTAATAGACATTTAAAAATATCCAATTCCTTTTGTTTCTTATTTTGCTAGGTGCTTAGATGCAAACTTGATTGAAATTC